TAATCTAGTTCTGCCGTTTAGCCCTAATTATACGTCGTAGTCAACGTTGATGTAACCAGTTCAACTATCGTTCCTGCTCCTTCGCTAGTACAACAATACCAGTATGACAGATGCAGGGTGAAGGAAAATTTTTCCTGTGAAGTGAAAGTCCTCTCTTAATATTGGACAGGTTTCCAAAACCACTCGAGACTACACGATTTTTCATCTGGATCAATGGTGCAGCAGCTGACAGTAATGGAGTCCAGTACTTAAGTTGATAATTCTCCTGAAGCGCTCCACATCATTTTTCCATTTGTAGGTGAGCTGTGCTTAATAGGATCTCATACTTTTTAACTTCCGTCTTCTAGGGAGCAAGAGACTGGCTTTTCAGCTGTGTTACATGCGGAAGCTGCAGAATGACAGAGACCGCTTACGTATTAGTCACCACGAATGTACAATAGAACGGTCCACAAAATACCACGACGGACATCTTAAAATGTGCTTACCTTCTAGAATGAGACCTTCGTCTTTGGCAAAAAGTCAAAGAACAATGCATCTTTTGCAGAAGAAATGAACAATGCTAAATAGCAAGGCTAATGTGCATATTTTTGTGAGCTCCATAGTTAATAGGGAAATTTTCAGACAGTTCTTCTTCATCATTTATGGAAGACATGTTCCTGGATCCATATCGCCCAAAATGGAAACAGTTTCTTCAGACACCTCATGTAATTTAAAAATTTTTTGCAGTATTAGTAAATGAAATGTAGTCCTAAAGCTGAGCAGATTAGTAAACCAAAGCAATTGGAACAAGCTAGCAGGAGACGCGCAACCACTGTTAAATTCCAAGCAAGTTTCGCAAGGATTTTGTATCGCTAGATGGAACGCTGCTTGATGGAAGAATAAATCCTGGAGTATTTGCCCTCCAATTGTTTGGAGGTCAAATTTCGAGCATGGTAAGCCTCTCGTTGTCCTCCTATTTTACGTCCTTCGTTTTGATAAAGGGGAAGTGGCCTTTCTTTATGCACATTTCAACAATTTTGTCTTAAGGCACGGTTGCAAGAACATAGTGATGAGTTTATAACGGGAGACGTGAGTTTAGTTGGCATGCATTTATTTTCATATAATTTAAGTAACAGAAGAAATTTTCTTGGTTGGCTAACCAGTGAGCCCTTTCAAGAGTGACATGGCCTGAAAGACTGATTATTCAGTAGAGTTCTGATGTGTGAGGTAGCCCCACTGTGATTTAAATTTGAGTGTCATTGAAGCATTCGATGCAGCACTTCACTATCCATGTTATCAAACAGCAACGTAAATGGTTTTTTGTTGAAGCCTGGGAAGAGCTTCCATTCAAAGCGTTCGCAATTGGTCAAAGTTTCTGTCAGGCACTCCGATAAACTGTTAAACAATTTTGTGGCGTAAACAAAAAGGTACTTCTTCAGTCTTGTTCTCAGTCTATGTAAACTACTATCTAACGCATCCGATTATCCAAACGGAGCATGGAATGATACTGTTCTAATCCGTATACTGCAAAGTATTAGCAACGATTTAACGACGGTATGGCTGAATTCGTTGATGCATAGCATTTTCGACCCGTCTTTCGAATAGATAGCATTACTGTCCACTCTTTAAGGCTCTCATCATCTGTTTCTTGGCAGGAAAAGCGTTTACAGCTAATCACTCACATTGTACTGGCTATTGCTTCATTTTGTGTGGACCATTAATCAGTACGTCATAGTCCACACTTAAAGTTCTCCCAAAACACTTAGCCAGCTTCTGCTGAAGTTGACTAACGGTCGTAAAATCATAGGGCTATTCCAAAACAAATACTATAGAAAGCATCTGTACAAAAACCCAAAGTACTGCCATCGTAGATGCGCTTTATACACGCAATTCGAATAAGTATTATTTGACGTTGTATGATTATCATCTGAAGGTCATAACTGTAATCGTCATAACTTAAGCAGCATCTTTGACATCAGTAAAAAGCACGAACTGAGTCACCGGTTGTAGTCGGTGGCTATTAGCAGACGCGTCTGACCAGTTATCTTTTTGATGAAAATCTCGGTAGTTAATAATCATTAAACTTATCATTTTGGTCAGAAGTTGAATTCCCATATTCTATAGGTAGAAAAAAATAACTCCTGGTTTCAAATAATCGATCCTTAAGTTGTTTAGCTTGAAAATCACAATTAGCAACTTACTGTATAAACGAAGCTCGCTCTAGTTTACAGCTGCTGAAGTGATTAGTAGGCTTCGCAATATTTTTGAACTATTCCTTGGTTCAAGTTTTTAAAATTTCATAGCAGTGCTGTGTAAAAATGCGCTAGATATCGTAAATCAATGATAAATTGTTGCCAGAGTTTCTGTTCTTGTCTCGGATTTTGTTCAGAGTGAAGTTGGTGGTAGATTTCGAATAAAGTTGGTATCGATAGCAAGCATGTTCCAGATTTTAAGCTGTGTTTGTACAAGATTGTACATGAACTCCAGTTACAGGACGTTATAATGTATCCTTGCTGGGCCATGCCGACTATCGCTCTGCAATAATTACACTCTGCACCTTTATTAGGTGAGAAAATTAAATTGTTGCTATAAAACATGTTCTAAATTTTGTTACAGTTATTGATTTTTTTATGTGACGGATCACCTTGTTTAAGCAGGCAGGCATCTCTCTGCACAATCTAATCAAAATGTAATCGCATTGGAGACCTTCCATATATTCGATTCTTCTACTGTTTACTATTGTGTATACATTTAGCAAATTCCTGTCATTTTGTTTTGTGAAAAACGTATCAGTATTCTGTAGAAAAATAGGTCTGATTAAGCACTTCTTGCCACATGTAGAATATTTAGTTAGGTCGTAATTCCTCGCATTCAAATTTTCTGATAGCGGTTGACTGCAGCAGGTTGCTTTTTGAAGCGGGAAGGTCAGAATACTGAGATCTGCAGTCGACGACTATTAGAAACAGCTAACTTAGACTTTATTCCGAAGTAAGCCGTAAAATATCGAAATATCAGTTGTTTATAAATGTAAGAATGTTGTTAAACAGTTTATTTTTGTTGTTTCGAAACTAAAATTTTTTGAGCATGTTGCTTTACATTACATGGACATTGAAGTTATTCTTAATGAGATGGTGAATTTTTGGTTAGTGATTAGGGGGCCGTAGATCATAGCCCTCGTCTCCTGTTGCACCATCGGAGTAAAATAGTCTGATGCTTTAAATACCTTTTGAAATTCGCAGCCCTCTCATGCAGCTGCTGGGCCCAAAAGTCTGAAGTGGTAACGTAGAAGGAATTCATCGTCGTCATCAGCCTTTTTCGATCCACTGTTAGAGGAAGGCCTCTCAAAGAATTTTATCCAAAGACCTTCAGTCGGTTCCGATATCGTCTTGGAGGATTTAACCATAATTCCTAAGTTGGTCAGGTGGGTTGGTTTATGTCTCTTCCACGTGAGCAGGTATATTTTTTATGCTCCTACAGCATGACTATCAGGACCTGGAGGCTCAGATAACAGGCTTTCTGAAAACCTTTTATCAACGTCCAATCACTTTATTGTAGTTGAATTAGGATCTGGGAGCAATTTATCAGTCAAACTTTGAATATGATCGAAACGAACATGTCAGACGCCATGTTCGTTCTTTTTGCATTTTATGTTGCAGGGCATCGAAAGCCGTAGTAGCTATAGATTTAATTTGGGTTCCGCATGAAACTTCCTTATCCGGCCCGTTCTCCTAACCTGTCTTACAAATCCTGTAACAGCTGAAGCGCATTATTTTGACCTATTGAGACTGCTCTTGTTCTGCTGAGCTATTAGTGTGCATGCATTATTTTCAATTGAGTAGTGAAAGCGCCACTGAGCCGTTGATCTGTTTGAAGAATATTCTTCATTGTCCATATTCAAGTTTCAACTCTCCGTGGGTATTCACGCCGTTCATTTATAGTAAATTAATGAGCAATATTGCCAATGACCTGCTGGACACAAAATGTGTAATTGGCTACCACGGAGAAGAAGGACTACATTTAAGATATGGCTTGGAAGCAATAAGCCTTCTACTCGCTTGCGATTTGTCGAGGCACGCAAGGCGGCAGCGAAAGCAGTGGCGAAAGCCAAAGTTGATTCCTGGGAGGAGTTCGATGAGGAGTTGAGGTCGAATTTCCACACGGCAAACAAGGTATTCTAGCAGACCATCCGCCAGCTCAGAGGTGAAAAGTAGGTCAGCCTATGGGTCTTTTAGGGCAGGTCTTGACACCCTTTTACTGAAGATGAGGACTGCGATAGACAGAGTACTTTCAGGAACTCCTTAACCCGGAGCAACAGCAGGAAGATTCGCCTGAGGAGCAGCATGGAACAAATATTATTATTTCCTTACATGAAATCACGCAAGCTGTGAAAGTTTAAAAAATGGAAAAACTGTTGGAATTGATGGAAACCGTCCTGAAATGCTGAAACGGTAGCAATAGACGAACAAGACATGTGCTAGCTTACACTGTCATGTTGCAGTGGCTACGAGGAACATACCAGCGACTGGAGAACGAGAGTTGTAGCACCCCTGTTCACAAAGACTATAGTGAGTGCTCCAATTATCGGGGCATTACCTTATTCGTGGTTAAAGTCTATACAAAGGTGTTAGAAATGAGGTGTCGCGGAATATATGGCACCAAAGTACAAGAAGAGCAGGTGGTTTTCCGGCAGGCCAAAGGATAGTTGATCAGATATTCGCCCTGTGTCAGATTGTTGAGAAGTCTTGGGAGTTCACTCATCTGGTTTATATGTGATTTGTGGACCTAGAGAAAGCCTTTGACCGGATCCGTTACTGTATGCTGATAACGGGTGCTGCGTCTAAACTTCTCAGCATTGGCACTCGTCTCCGTCAATGCTTCGTTCTGTCCCCTTTCCTGTGTGTTGTACACGGATAGAAGTCAGACGCAGCCAAGGCGAGACGTTTATCCGTGTTGGAGGTGTCGAGATGGGAAGGATGCTATATGCAAACGACCTTGTTTTGTTGGCATGTTCTGAAATTGATTTGCAACCCTCTGAAGAGTTTCGTAGCTGATTGCGACGTTGCCGGCATGCGTGTGATTGTATTTAAAATCGAAAAGCCTAGTGCTTTCTCGTTCTTCCGTTCGTTGTTCCCTTCAAATTAGCGGTGAAGCAGTGGAGGATGTGGAGAAGTTCAAGTACCTTGGAGTCGTGATTACTGGTGATGGAAAATTTGAAGAAGAGATCGACCGGCGGACTGGAATAGCCAGTGGCGTTCTGCGTGAATTAGCCTGAACTATTGTTGACTAAAGCAAAGCTGTGTCTGAAGACTAAGCTCTGGGTATTCGGGTTGATCTGCATCCCCATGCTTACATATGGTCATGAGTCGTGGATGATGACTGAAAAACTTCGACCTAGAATGCAAGCGGTTCAAATGGTCTTTCTGAACGAATTGTTACATTTACGCGTCTCTACATAGTCCGGAGTACGGAAATTTAAGAGATTCTAAGTGTACAGCTGCTTCTTCTTGAGATTGAGAAGTCGCATCTGTAATGGTTTAGGCATGTGTTTGAATGCTTCAGAAAGAAAGGCGAGCAATTTTTTCTTGCTCATCCGATCGGCAGAAGGCCCAAGGGACGGTCAAAATTAACCTGGTGCAAATATATGGGAGGAATTCGTTCCAGACTCCAGTTGTCTTCTGCCGAAGCTCAGATTCTGACACAGGATCGGGAATGTTGGAAACGCTGCCTGACGTGTCTGCTCCCCGCGATTTGAAATGGAAATTGAATATTGTCAGTGACCGGAATCGGTCTTTCATCGGTCGAACAAACACTGTATTTTAATTTTCATAACTTTGTCCTGTAAGCTTGATGGTTCTTCATGTGTTTAGGAGATGGCAATAATGCTGAAATGTGGAAGTCGTCAATTGCAATGGATGCTTCAGTTCTCTCCGTTGAAATGGTCAAGTACCGCCGCAGAAACGTTTTCCGTAGCGAAACGTGAACGTACTCGATGGCCGTTTTTTCAGATGGATGGTAAAGAGTGTGTTCAACTGAAAGACGGTGTCTACACGATTGACGACCTTCACGAGCAACCAGCGCTGACTATCATGTTGGTGGAGCACTGGCTGAGCCAAAAGAAGTTGAACCGAAGCCATCAGCCAAGGTTCTGGATGATGAACAGCCGCGAACGAGTCTGGGCGAAAGAAATTTGGTATAAGGTACGCAGCCAATTACTCATTTATCATATGGATTGGTTCTTCCGTTCTTGGTCATCCTTTGGTAGTGCGAATTCTGGCTACTGTTTAAGCTTGGGCTGATGTGCACTACTTCTTTGGCATATGTGCTCGAGAAAGTCTTCTTCACTTTCTAAGGATTTTGTCCCTTTATCTGGTTCCTGCCATTTTATTAAAAGAAACAGGCTTTGTGCCCAACATGAATAAGTCAGGATCACGTCAGTTTAGATTGTACTGGTTAGATAAAAATAAACTTTGTGCTAGATTTAGTGGCCATTGCAACGAAACTAGTCTTAGACTCTGTTGAACAGATGTCGTTATGTAACACATTTTCATCATACTTTGTTGAGCATTCCTGTTACACCGTTCAGGTAAGCTTCCTGAATGCTGTCGGCTGGAAAGACCTTTGAGAATGTTCTTCTCACTTTGCACTGTTACTTCCTTAAGCACCATTATTAATTCTGTCAATTAATAATTCACATTCAATACTGTCAGTTCTACTTCCATATTCAATATGACATGCAGATTGCTTCTTTTGTTCTCTGAGGTCGAAACAGCATAAAATGCATTCACATCAGTGGTATACCAAACTGTCAGAAATTCAAGTAATTTTTTCAGTTATTAATGTACGGAAGCTTTTCTGTTAAGACTGAATTATATGGTATTATGTACTTCATATGGAGTAGTATAGTAGTAGTAGTAGTAGCGATGATGGGGCAGTAGGGCGCGGTGGCACTGCAGCAATGATGTCGGCCTCGAATACCCAAAGTGCTGGTTTCGACTTTATGTTAATTACAATCTTAGCCGTGAATTTCCTTGAGCAAGAAATTTGGCCTATGTTTGTTTCACTTAGCAAGTTGGTGAGCTGTGACCTACAGTAGCAGCATTGTGTTCTGGTGCGATCTTGCCAAAATGGACGAGAGGTACGGCCATGCTATCCAGCGCGGTCGCTTCATACAGCTGCCGTTAGCCTTGACACACCTGTTAGCTGATTATTTAATGTAATGATCAGCGTAAGGTGTTGCCCTTGTTATTGTCGTTGTTGTTGTACTTTTTATATGATGTCTCGTGAAGAGCAATCGAGCTCGAACCGAAACGTTGGGATTAATTTTCATAAAATTTATATTCGGGGTAAACCATTCGAAGATTATGAAGATCAGGAAGTTTCCATCCGCATAGAATTTTCTAGCAGTCTCTTTGAAACTGATATAGTGTGATGATTTTCATGAGATACTAATGTGAAAATTTGTTTAATAGAAATTGCAATGATCGATAGCATCGTTAATTAGTTGAATGAACTTAGGACTGTAGCGCCGTTCCGTTCTACATGATTTATCCCTATGCTAATGGCCTGTCGCGCTTGCTGATGATCGGGATGCTGTGGGCGGCGGTTTATGCTCTTCGAGGCATCTATTTTGTTTTGGTTCCCAATAAAGAAGACAATATTTTTTGCTTCGAACATTGGCAAAAAGTACGAAGCGAACATTACAAGCACAAGCAAGCACATTCTTATGATTGATTAACTACGGTTTGTTACTTGTTCGTGCGAAAATACGACGATGGTTTGCTAATTTATTTCTTTGAAGCGCGGTCTGATACGCACGTATATTAGAATTGCGTTGAATTTTATTTACTGTAAATTATTGTTCATTTGCATTGTATTTTATTTGATAGCGCTGTAGTGGTCACCGTATTTTTTTCAGTGTCTTATATCAAACAAGTCACATATCGTTATTCTGGACATCACTGCTGTTCAAACTTTGTTTCATCATGCATGCTTGTTTTGTAGCAGGCTAGAAGTATCTTGCTCTAAGAATGGTGCTCCATGGAACGATCTGGTCGTCGCGAGAGCATCACATGCGAGAATTTGGTGTCTGTGATGATGCCGTTTTCATTACCAGCTGAATAAAACGGGTGGGTCATGGTAGGACCATATGTTCAACAATGATTGTTGGTAAGTGAATGCGTCTTGGTAACTAATGCAGAACCGTTATGAAAGTACCTGCCTGATGTTACGAAAGGTGATGCCGTAAATTCTGTTTTAGGTTCACGAATGATTCGTGTTCGATTGTTCGAGTTGTATGCCGTGTACGCTGTTGCTGAATAAACCTCCAGTTTGACAGGGACGTGCTGCATATTTCCTTATTATGGCAAAACTTAGAATCTGAAAGAACGAACATGAACACTCATCAGAATGAAATCGTGCTTCGAGTTGTTACATCATAAAGCCGTATCAAATGCTTATGGATGGAGCGATTCTTTGCCACACAGAGCAGTTGAATCGTTGATAGATGTATCGGTAAACATGTAACGACAGTGTGCCGAATGTGATGATGAGCGTGTTGAATGATCAGAATCCGGTAGATATACCTACCACTGAATAGTTGTGAATACCGTGTCCACGGAGGACGCTAAGCAGGGGAGATTTATGGGTATCTGAATAAAGCTTTAAATAAAACTGAAAATCATGTTCCAGACATGACATACCGGAATATCAAAACAAGCGGACGGTAAAATAAGACGGCGGGATATGAGCTTTCACTGTACAACATAAATTTCATGACTTACATGCGTGATATGTGAACACTAGTTAATGGAGTAGTCAGTAGACAGGCGAGCTTTGTTGTCTGTTTCATTTCCTGCGTCCACTGACACTGACTGTAATAATATGCTTTTTACTATCGTTTTGAATTCTCAGTAACGGCATGCACATTACATTTCTTTTAAGTCTCGAAGTGCCAGTTCTTTAAAGAGCAGTAGAATATTTTTGTTAAGGAGCTACTTATTTTCTCATCACACAGCGCTGCTCATTTATCGAGCTCAGAAGGAAGAAGAACGAGTGACTCTGACTGGGACTCGAACCAGAAATTCTCGGTTCTGAGTCAGACGTTTTACCGACTGAGCAATCCCGGACGATGTATGTTCTTACGTATTGTATAAATTCAGTTTATTTAATCTTTTGACGCGAAGTACTGTTGAAACTTAACACGAACATTTGGTACTTTTATTTTCTGTTCTTCACTGTTCGGTTGTCGGTTGCGGTTTTACGTTGCTGGAATACAAAAACTTAAGAAAAACATGTGTATTACGTGTTATGGTGTAAATATACCGAAAAGGGAACATTCGATTATTACACATGGTTTCGTTGGACTGACCTAACTTCATCGATTCTGATTTGGCGCTCAAAACCATCGAAATCTCTGTCTTCCTTACGCTTTTTTAATCTATGCAGTTTATTTTGCCTTTACTAATTACGACTTATAATATCGCGTTAATCTCTGTTCCGATGGCATCAGCCAAGGTGCTTTGGTTTGAAAGCGATATCAGCATCTAGGTGACTACAGTGGGTGCAGTAGTCTAGTAGTTTTTCATTATGTAGTGATACTCATTCGTGTACTCGAGAAGAATGAATGTTAGTGACCAGGTCGGTTCGTGAACCTTTGGCCTTTTCATAGCAAATCGAAGTTACGCTTAATTATGTAAAGTTGTTTGCATAATTTCTAGCTGGAGTAGCTGGAGTTCTAATATTTTTTCTATGAGAGCTATAATTTTATACTTACGTTATAGAATATCAACGGCAGACTACTGCAGTCACGAATGTAGCGATACTTTCGCTTCAGTATCGAGGTACCTTTTAAGTTGTAACGAAATGTTTATGTAACGAACCAAGAATTTCAGAATGTTTCATTAGTTTTCTTTTGCTTATTTTGAAAGACTCAGATCTGTACACTTTCATCGTTCTCTAAAAAAGCTTCCTCAGCATATATTTAAACGCAAGAAAACTTCCAATCAATTATTCAGCTGCTTATTGTCCGAATTTGGAATTCATGTTTTGGCCTTCTTCGCAAGTGGCGTTCTTGCTGGGCACGGGCAATAGAAAGAATCAGGCCCTGGCACTCCAATTCTTCCAAATACACCGAACTCACCGCGGTTACCTGGTGGACCTTGAGGACCTTCTTCACCAACCACACCCTTCGATCCCTCTTCTCCAGACATTCCATCGATTCCTCGCTCACCCTGAGCACCAAAAGGTCCACGTTGTCCCTTT